GATTGGCAGGGCAAATCATCTGGATTGGCAGGGCAATCAAATATTTTAATTGATAGAATGTAGAGTTACTAAGTAGCTTCCAGGGCTTCCAGAGGGAATTGAATACAATTTATAGACCTAAATTTTACAGATATTGGTAAAAAATAAGGGTTTCAGGCATGTTTTAACAGGAATTTGTCCGAAAATTTTTTTCGATCTTTTTTTGAATGTCCGGAAAATTTTTTCAACCTCCCGCCCGCCAACATTTTTGGGAGAAATAGTGGCATAAAAAAATTGTCCTGCAAGGCATCATCGGCTTTCGCAGGGCAATTCTAGCAGACACACCCTATTTGAAAGGGGCTGAACCAGGATATCAACCACCATACTTGGTGTTTCATCTGATGTCTTGCATTTATAATATATAGGATCTTGGCTAGGCGGCCCGGTAAACTAAGGGGCATTTGAATTAAGCCGGGCACCTGGGTTAACCGGCCCAGTTCATGTAAACAGCGCCCCCCCCCCCCCCCGATACTTCCACTCCCTGTCAGGCACCATATTGAATTTTGTGGACGTGTCAGAAAAAGCCTGCGATCCTTCGAAAGATTTTGATAAAAAACAGCAAAAATACACAATTACTGATACCTCATTATATATGTAATTGAGTAGATGACGTCACATGGTTACAAACAAAATGAAATATCTCAAGAACTAAGAATGGGAACAAAAATCTTCAAAACAAGTTACTATACAGTTTTAAGAGCATTTTCGTTTAACAAAAATAAAAATTTTGATCAGAGTGCCACTTTAACATCAAGTCATCAATCATTATAAATATAACATAAATATGTAGACATTATAATATGATAAATATAACATAAATAATATTCATAAATTAGTTATCCTACCGGATACTTGCGCTGTTTGATTTAATGTAACGTAAAAACTATAAAAGTTATTGCACTCAAATAAGTTTTAATGCATTCAGAAAGGGCTAACTTAGATTTTGATATATAACATTTGAATGTCCGTGCAACATTTACTGAGCTATCGATGTTTTAATTTGAAAAACATATTTGACAATGTTAAACATTTGCATAAAATTGCCTATCAAATATTATTTGGTTAACCTTGAGTATAGTGAGTGATTTTGGGCGCTTTTCTATAACTCGAGCAACATTCCTCAAGTGTTTGGATCAGGCCATCCAAACACGGAAACCATAAAGTAATTGTTTTATAAAATAACAACTTTCCGTGTTAAAATTTCACTTTCTAAAAAATTCACTTTAAATTTCCGTGTTTGGATGGCCTGATCCAAACACGGGTTTCGACCAATCAGAGCACACGTTATATACATGTTATTTTCAAAATCTAAGTTAGCCTTTTCTCAATAAAATAAAATTTATTTGAGTGTAGTAGCTTTTATAGTTTTACGTTACATGAAATCAAACAGCGCATGTTTTTGTTAAATATCAAATTTCTAAGTATCTTAAGCCTGGCGCACACGATGCGATTTTAGTCGGCCGATAAAAATCGTTCGAGTAAAACTAACAAAATCGTTGTGTGTGCGGTGTCATTTTTAACCGATTTTTGTTGCTCGATTTTAATCGGACAACATCAAAACGTTTTGATATTATACGATTTTTATGGGTGGAATTTTAAGTATAACCAATCAGATTTCATGCTGTGATCACGTGCTTGTATTTATTTGGCAACATGGCGGCTACAGTTCACTTCAGTTCAGGGAGTATATTTTTTTCGTAATCGTGTGCGGAGTATACCGATGTATATCCGTATGTCAAACGATTTTTCTCGGCCGACTAAAATTGCATCGTGTGCGCCAGGCTTTAATAAATAAAAATTAAATAAACAAAATTTTTCTATTTTTTTTATTTTATTCTACCTCCATTTTTTAAAAAAATCACGTATTTTTGCCTTGCCTTTGCCGCCATCTTTGCTGCTGTTCATATTTTTTTACTCTGTCATCTATCACAGACGCCATATCGTCCTACAGTAAAGAAAACAACGCCATAAGTATAGATAAAAATCTTACAAGCTTGTCAACAAGATGTGTTCACATCACTGCTTGCATGTTTCCTGTTGCTGACAATTAAGATTATCATCTTGCAACAAGGTTGTTAAAACCAAAAGACTCGCAACAAGTTGTTCCAACAAGTCTGACATGATGTTTGTGATGTTACTCTGAGTGTATATCCACACCGGGCAAGCTTGAAAAATATGCCTGGCCACGGTGGGAATCGAACCGACGACCAACACAGAAAAAATGATGATTACTAGATTACATTGATATCGAAGGAACTAGATTCTGTTCCGAAATATCACATACTCGAGCTGACCTGACCGCGTAGCTCGGTACTTCAGTTGGAAGAGCAACAAACAGCCTGTATTAGTCAGAACGACGAAGGACATTCGCTGTATAGGTAGTTGTATCCCTATCAATCCACAGTGGTCACAATAGCAAGCCTGGTTTCCTATGGTCGTAACGATTGCGTCACGATCTTCCTCATCAGCCGAAATACAACATTTTAGAACTGAAAATACGCGAAAAATCTTGCTGCATCCATCCCTGTTATAAACTGGCCGTTGAGAAAAAAACAATACGACCATATGGAAACCAGGCTTAAACAAACGACGTTTTTGTCACTAGAACATCACCCGAAACTCAGGTTTAACTAATGCAGGCGGCATTTTGCATCATAGCACTCATGTAAGGAAGCAGAAAACTTTAAAAATATTATGTTGAAGATTTAGCACAAAACACAGTTTTTAATCCCCCCGCTTGACAATCTGACGTCCCTGTTGACAAAAACATTGGTTCTTTAATTGAAAACATCATTTAGATATTTTTAAACATGAAAACAAAACCTGACGAACCTCCCATTGTTCCAGTTTCTTGGATAGTTCAACTTTCTGGGAGACTGCTCTCAACAGTTTCATCTCCAGTTGATGGATATCCTGCCTTGCTTTCTGTAGCTCTTGAACAGCACTGTGTTGGAAAAATAAATTCATTTCTATTAGATATTTCGTGGGGTCCAGTGTAGGGACTCTACAATGAACTGCGGTGGCCTGCGTCTATTTATTAGCTTTACAATCATATTAAATAAAATACACATACAGCTATGATTGAAAGATTGGACAACCGAACTAGAATCATGTTTCGCTCGCTACTCTGGTTTAAATAAATGATTACAAAGCCCAGTCGAATTGTAAGCAAGACCCAACGTTTCGACACTCCAGTCTAGTGTCTTCATCAGGAGTGATCTAAAATTGCAATCGTGGCTTCTTAAATACCCAAGGGATGACGTCACCTGCCAATGAGATGCATATATTCCTCTGGCAAATAGGCACCGTCATCCCTATTCAAAGCATGATTACTCATATTTATATTCCACGCTTATATATGCCAGAACTAGAATCCCATATATTAAGTCCATCCATGTAATACTAAAACACGACATATTACGGACTACAAACTGGACAACAAGATACTGATTTTACAAGCCGTTACATGAAGTATATAAAACATGCAAGTACGATTTAAAACACAAGTAGGAGTGTTTTAAAATACAGCTACAAAAGAATACTAATTAGGATGAAAAATTATATAATCATACTAATTAGGATGAACAATTATATGTCACATGCTTTATCAGGTATAAAGTCACTCCACGTGACATATTATGGCTGACACGATTTGCCACAATTCACTCACATATATAATTTAAATGCTTGGTTACCTTTGTTCCATTCTATGCTTACATTATCAGAACAGTGGTAACTAGGCATGTGAGTTATCAATTCACTCACATATATAATTTAAATACTTGGTTACCTTTGTTTCATTCTATGCTTACATTATCAGAACAGTGGTAACTAGGCATGTGAGTTATCAATTCACTCACATATATAATTTAAATACTTGGTTACCTTTGTTACTTTCTATGCTTACATTATCAGAACAGTGGTAACTAGGCATGTGAGTTATCAATTCACTCACATATATAATTTAAATACATGGTTATCTTTGTTCCATTCTATTCTTACATTATCAGAACAGTGG